AAAAAAAAAAAAAAAAAAAAAAAAAAAAAAAATCCCAAAGTTGGAAAGAACAAGAATGAATCATTTTTCTTTGTTCTTGTTTATGGGTTTCCTTTAAGCAATAATTTCTAAAAAAATTATAAAAAATTCTCATTCAAAACATAGACTTTATCAAATATTCCACATTTCCCTAATGTTTGTCTAAAATCATGTCACATTATAAATAAAATAATGTTACAAAAATTAATATATAATATTATTAATTAATGTGAAAGCAAGAAAAGATGAGTCCTCTCCCCATTGGTTGCAATTATTTAAATCAATATTATTTTAATAATAATAATAAAAAAAAAAGATAGGTTAAAAAATTGCCATTTGATCCTTTTTAGTGGGGTCCACGTGTATTGCCACCTTTACCCCATAGAATGTTTCCCATTGGCCATCACATGTGATTCCATGTGAAGTGGGCCCTCCCTCGTTGCCCTCAACTAATTGTGTAATTAATTACTTTAATCAAATTTATGTATTTCATAATTAAGGGCAATATTATGATAAATTAATGAAATTATTTCTAATTTTATGATTTTTTTTTTAATAACATGTTTGGTTTTTTTATTCCGAAATTAGGGTTTCTGCATAGTTTATTCGAGTTCATTAAAATATAAATTTGTATACATACTCGAGCATGCTGGTTCGAAGAATGAGTGATTATATGTTTCTTCAACTCTTACCGACCATCTCGAGATGCTAACATCTTTCCCAAAACAAACCTGCCGACGCTTAGACTCTGATCGATTCTATCACCACACAGATCAAGTCAATGATAGATAATAACTCCCCCACATACAACTCAACAACTTTATTGTCGTGTACTGCGAAAAAAGTCATCACGAGTAAATAAATTTATTTTACTTAAAAGGGCGTAATTATTTATTTTCGCGACGTAACGACAACTTTAATCAAATTAACATAAAAGAAACAATTCCTCACTAGTTCCTATTTCACTTCACAAACTTCAACAATAATGTGTGGGGAAATTAAATCTCTATAAATTAAATAAATTTATAAATTCCAAACCCTTTCAATTAAATTATATTATATGTGTGGTCTTATCTTTCTTAAAAACTTACCACTAATAAACCAATATTAATATTTTAATATTTTAATGTTTTCAATTTCTTTTCCTTGTCTTCCTCAAATTAAAGTTCCCACCTTTTACTTGTTTATTGCATGCTAAGAAATTCGGGGCATCGTAAACGATAAAATGATAATGGGTTCGGTTTGAATTCAGATTTGAAATTTAGATTTATAGTTGATTGGCTCGTGACTTCTTAAGTAGAGTAAAATTCAAGATAAATAGGTAATGTGGTCATGTCGCACAGATTAAGGAAATGTCGGAGTCATCAAATATCAAACTCGAGTTCCAGATTCTAACATGAATTCTGGGTATAGTTCGTTACAGTTTGAATTTTGAGTTGTCTAATACGTCCTTGAAAAATTCAAACTTTTTAAAAAAAATTAATTTTTTGTTCAGAAGATTCTTGAATTTCAAAGTTCGAAGAAATTTAATGTTAATTATTAACCCTAGGTGATGATGGGAGGTGGGGTTTGCACTAAAATGACAACAACATTCAATACAAGAAATGATAGATACAATAGTTTACGAAAAACGCTATCGTAGACTTTTTATACCGTTTTTCGTCGTCGTGACAATCTATATTATTAAAAGTCTGGAACTTTTTATAGCATTTTTTTTATAGCTACAATGAATACTATAATAGAATATGAAGTTATAGCTTATACACATTGCTATGAAAACGTTTTATAGCGTTTTACAAATTATCAGATTTTGGCATACTAATACACCACACACTTAACGAGGTTATCAAGTAATTAACAATAAATTGAAGTTATCGAACGCTTAGTTAAAATTGTAAAAAGATTTTTTAAATGATGCATCACAAGTAATTCACTCGAAAGCAAAAGAATCAAACCCTAATTTCTCGAGTTCAACGACAACATATAGACATTCATACGTAAAAATCTAAATCTACCATTCATATGAGAAAAGATATTTGTATTTAATCGTTTCAGATATGCTCAGATATTAGCACAGTCGATTCGAGTCGTGTCGTTAATTAATCAAAATCAGATAAACTCGGTTGTATTTGCATAAAACAATTTAAGGGTTTTAACACACTGAATATTTATAATCAACTAAGACATGTTTTATATCTTCAACTTCCTAAGACATGGCTGCAACAACAGCTTCAATCTTAAACACTTTCTAACCTTTTTTAGAATCCTTAAAACGACGGTCGGCCGCCGTGAGCCCATGAATAAGCCTCCTGGTTCATTTGTCCGCCGCCGCCACCGCCGCCATTTGGTAGCAAATTTGGTGGTAAATTGTAGAGTGGTGGCATAGCTGACAGATCTCCGACTCCTCCTCCGATGCCTTGCGGCGAACCGTCGCCGGTGCCACCGCCTGCTGATGTATGCCCTTGTGCTCCTCCCCCGCCTTCTTCCTCCTCCTCTAGAGGTAACCTTTCGTATGTAGCGTTGGAAAACGTTGCGGCGATCACCATCACTGGCCCGGCAGCGGTGAGTGGCCCGACAACGCTACCGCCCACCACCTGCCCTTGGCCACCGGCTAAGTAGATCGTGAGTCCGGTCGAGCCAGGTGGGGCTGGTCCAGGGAGGAAAGTTCCAGTCAACGAGAGAATCTCGAACCGCCCTTGAAGGGTTAAGACTGCACCGGGCGCAGACGGTTGCCGGAGTGTAACGTTCGTCACCGTGCCGCTGCCACTAAGCACAGAAACCCCTAAGAATAGGATAAAAAGATTAAATTTTTCATAACCCATCGAAAATTAACATGACTACATACACAAAAAAACTAAATTTACCGTAACCCATTAGCTTAAACTTTTACCTCTTTGTCGCCGACGAGCGAAGTGAGCAACACTTTCGGCGATATCAGCTCCGTTAGAAATCTCCATGACATGGCTTTTTAGGGCATTAGGGCTATCTCTAGTAACAAAGATAGGTGGTTTAGGCTTATTCTTGGAGCCAGCCGGGCGGCCACGGGGGCGGCGCGTAGGGACTTCAACAGCACCTTCCTTAGGTTCATCGCCACCGTTATCTCTATCGTCATCGTCATCACCGCCACCGCTGTTGACAGCGCCGTTGTTGTCGTTCATGGAGATCCCCAGATCTGGTATTCTCATGGCGGAGGAGCTCGTCGATGTATGATCAACTCCGGGAAGACCCATCTGGCTGGAAGTCCACCAACGGTTCGCCATCTTCAACCGGAGCTTCAAAAATCAAATCTTTTTCAGATCTTGAAAACTTTGAGCCTTAAAAATCAAAACTTTATTTGTTTTTTTTCAGATTTGGGTGTGGAAGAAGAAGAAGGTATTGTGGGGATCAAAGGGAGAGGTGAAATGGAAGGATCAAGCAAAGGGAAAGTATCAGAGAGAGAGAGAGAGACTGAACTGATGATGAGAGGAAGAAGAGGAGAGAAAAGGCAAAGAGATGCCTAGATTTGAGATGGACAAGAGAGTATGTGAGGAGAGAGAAAGAAAAAGATATATATATATATAACGCCTCTAACCTGACGTAACAAATTAAGCTCACTACGGGCTGATATTGTACTATTTGGACTTTCTTTTACGAGCTTTCCCTTAATGTTTTAAAACATGTCTACTACATAGAAGTTTCTATCCAACCGATGTGGGATCTCACAATCCACCCACTTGGGGATAGTACACCTCTTAATGTCGGGCTCTGATACCATTTGTAACAACCCAAATCCACCGTTAGCAAATATTGAGAAATTATTCAAGTAAACAACTTCAATATACCTAAATATTTTGAATTTGTTTCTACTCATGATTACAAAAGTAAAATTAGAATCAGCATCCACTCCCGGAATGAAAAAGAGAGAAGAAAACAACCCACTGGAGATTGTCAGTTATATTAGGACCGTATCATCAAATATCAATATTATGAGTCATATTGTGATGGTCGGATCAAATTGTGGTTCGTTATATTGTGAGGGTCTAGTCAAACAGTGATTCGTTAAAATTGTGAGTCATATTGTGACGGTCGGGTTAAATAGCGGTTGGTCAAAATTGTGAGCGATATTGCAACGGTCGGGTCAAGGAGCGGTTCGTGTTAATGGGAGAGTGGTTGGAGGTAGTATGGGTAAAGTCTTGGGTAGTAGAATAAAAAAATGAAGAATTTGTAGGGTTTTTTTTTATTGTGTGTGAGTGGGGTGGCATGCGCTTATGATGGTGGGATGCACGTCCTTGTCTACCGTCCCCACTCACACACACACATACACATAGAGAAAGACATTAGGGTTAAAATAAAACATAATTTAATGGACAAACCTTTCAATTCAAATTTCTTCGAACCCTGTCCATATATATATATATAATATTTTATTAGCCGCTCGTTCATTGATTTCTCCGTCGATAATAGAATGATGAGCTTCCCCATTGGAACGGTATATGCTCGAGGAGCCTCTTGATACCTGCTAATCCAAATCGAACAACAACCAACCTTTAATCTTTTAGGACGAGGCACAAGACGGAACTCGAGGGTATGGGTTCAAGACTACTCTGCTTAGTGGGAATGAGATTCGGATGTGAAATTTGAATGATCTCGATCTCGGTCTCTTTTTAAATAACCATTTTTGTTAAGTGAGTGATTAATATATATCCGAAGAATTTGAATGGATAAAATTTAGCTCAGTAGGTAGAATAATCTACCAAAGTTTGATTCTTCTACTTTTGAATTAAATTCGCTTTTTTTTTTTTAATTTAAAAATTTAAGGTTCAGGATTCAGATCAAGATCTAAAATCTAGATTTGACACGTGATTGTCGTGACATTCTCTTAAATTATCTCCACCAATCAACACGAGTCTTTTTACATGTTTTGTCCTCACTCACATTTAATTGATTGTCCCGACATTCTCTTGCATCCTCCGCAATATGTCACATTATTTACTCCTCGCTTGTAAGAGTCCATAATTTACCTATATTGAAGGCGCACATTGTCAGTATAGATAAATTATTAGTGAAAATCGTCAATTTAAATTAATTCGAACCTTTTAACTTAGTATATACTTTAATAAAGTGAATTATATACTTAAATAGACACAAAAATGTATAATATATAGTATAGGATGATGATGAAGAGTAACACTTTGAATTACTAGAATATTTTAGGATGTCTAATCAAAATTAAAAGCTAATGAATCATGACTCAATAACTTAGAATTAATTATTAAAATGTCCTCATAAGTCATAGGTAAATTATGGCATATCAATTAATTTAACTCTTATAATATGTTTTTTAATTATATAAAATTATTTTTATAATAATAAAATCGCCTTTAAAAGTATAAAATAAACTATTAAATGACTAATAATTTTGATTAAATTTAATATCTTTTTAACTCAATTAAATATTGATGATGAGGATTGGCAGATATTTATGTTTTTTTTTTTATTATTTGAATTTAAAAATGAAGATTTAAATGCTGTGATGATTAATATATATTACAGTAAAGTGCTCTGAACAATGAAATTTAATAATTATATATAAAATATTAAAATATTAATACTTTAAAAATTATATATTTTGAAATTGAATTAATTAATTAAATATGAGAGAATAAATGAATTTAAGAGTTTAAGGACCGAAATCGACAAAAATAACATTTAAATAAAATTTGTATTATTTAATATATGTTATATTAATTAGTCATATTTTTCCATTAATAATTAATTAGAAGTAATATTAAAATTTATGTAATGTTAATTAAATTAAGTAATTTCAAATATTAATATTTCATAATAAATTTAAAAACAAAATTTATATTAAGTAGTTAAGGTAATATAAAGTATTAATTATAAGTTGAGTAGTTGACATTTAGTAAAGTCTAAATAATATGTCAATATTTAATATTAATTAATTATGTTATAGTTTTAGTGATAATAATATTATGAGACATTTTGACTTTGTATATTTAATTAGTAGTAAGTTTATTATTATTATTATTATTAATAATAAGTACGACATATCTTTTGGTATACTAAGTAACAATCTTATACTATAATGTTTTAGATTAAATTATTTTTACAAATCCTTAAGACTTTTTATAATCATATCTAATTCTCCGTAATATTCTAACTTTATTATAAAAAGTGGATTTATATATATTATAAGGGAAAAAAAATATTAAAAAGGAGACTATGGTTATCTGAATGTAACAAAGGTTTAGGTTATAGCCGTAATGATTAAGATTAAAATATTATTCGTGTCCTTAACTTTAATTACACCTTAGTTTAGCCTTTATTAAAGTCCTATTTCATTATCATTTTGTCTTTTAATTTTTTTATTATATTTATAAAATCACACTGTTTGTCCGATTATATATATTTTTTTTTGTTCATTTTTCTTAGTAACTTATAAACAAATCTCGTAATGAATATTCCTATTATGTCGATTTCAAAATAATATTATTGTTTGAATAAAAACGAGCGAATTCAGCTGTTGAGGATGTGTGTATAGTTGATTGTTGAAGTCTCATATTGACTAATTAAGGAAATATTATAAGTATATAAGTAGGGAACAGGGTCTCGGTTGATATGAAGATTTTTGGTAAACCAAAAGTAAGGCCATGAAATGGTAATATCATCCGAGTGTGAAGGGTCATTATTTCTATCATCAACTGCGTTACCGCTCCTTACACCCACACCTTCATTGTGTTGACTATGTTGGATGATGAAAGTCCCACGTCCGCTAATTTAGGGAATGATCATGGGTTTATAAACAAAGAATACTCTCCCCATTGGTGTGAGACCTTTTGAGTAGCCCAAAGCAAAACCACGAGAGCTTATGCTCAAAGTAGACAATATCATATTATTGTGGAAACTTGTGTTCGTCTAATAGACTACATGGAATACACATACATCGGTTGAAGTATATTCTACAAGAATCTTCTACTTCTATTAGTATAAGAACTTGACTCGGTGCTACCATGAGACATTATGGTAAGTCGGGTAGTGATGGTCGCTGTAACGCTCATATGTAAAATCCGATCCAATTCATGGGGATCTAAATAATTAATTTTCATGTCTTTTAGCTCGAGAATAGAAAATTTGGGTAAGATATTTAAAAACTGCCTTTTAAGATTTAAAAATTAATCAAATTATTATTATATAGACATATTTTCCCCTTCATTTATCCAATTTATACTTTTGGCCAAAAATTTTCCTTCCAATGTAAAACATGGTTAACGCCAAAAATTCTCCCGGCTGGGGTTCTGCTTCTGCAAGCAATCGGTCATCAGGTACGACAATGATCAATCTTCCAACCGGTATCTATAAATTTCTTTCTCACGCAAACAATCGAATTCTTTCTCTGTTTCTTTTCTCTTTTCACTGCGCTAATTTTCAGAGGGTTTTTTGGTTAACTGTCGTAGAATACAGATGGGTTTTGATAAGTTCAGTTCATCTTTGCTTTCTAACATTTCTTGTGGTTCTAATTTTAGTTTTATGCTAAGGAATGGAAAAATAGAGTGATCGGAAGGATTTAGGTTGCTTGTTGATGTTTAATTTTCATTAGATTATCGGTTTTTTTTATCCTGTTCTTCTGGATGTGACGTGATTTTCAGGTTGAAGTGTTATGGGTCTGTGATGATTTGTACATATGAATTTCTGCGAGATTTATGAGCGACTAATGTTGCATGTCCACTGTGTGTTGGGCTGGAAAATGTTGTGCCATTTTTAGTGTTGCATGCTTAGTTTCATATTCTGTTTGGGATTTTGTGTGGAATCTTCGTTATATTTCTTCATTTTGGGTTTCATCTGACGTATTGAACTGTATAAATCCGTTTGAAGATTTTCACTGAGGATGTTGAATGGGGTGTTGCAACAAATTAGTTCAAAAGATTGCATTCCTTGTGAGTTTTAACTCTTTTTTTAAGTGATATGTTCGGATCCCATTGATTATTATGCTTATGGTTTGTCTACCCACTAATCTCCGAGAAGCTTTCCCCGCCTCATCCCAAAGCCCACCGCTAGTAGATATTGTCTTCTTTGGGCTTTCTCTCAAGGTTTTAAAACACGTCTACTAGGGAGAGGTTTCCGCCCCCTTATAAAGAATGTTTCGTCCTTCTCCCCAACCAATGTGGGACTCTCCAATCCACCCCCCTTCAGGGCCCAATGTCCTTGTTGGCACACCGTCTCGTGTCTACCTCCATTCGGGGCTCAGCCTCCTCGTTGGCACATCACCCAGTGTTTGACTCTAATACCATTTGTAACAGCCCCTCCTTGGGCTTTTCCTTTTGAGCATCCTCTAAAAGTTTTAAAACGCGTTTGTTAGGGAGAGGTTTCCACACCCTTATAAAGAATGCTTCGTCCTCCTCCCCAACCGATGTGAGACCTTACATTTTGCTTACCCTTTAACCCTTCTCTTTGATAAGAGTAAGAAATGCCAAGTTGATTAACTTGTAAAGGAAGTATTAAGATAGGAAATAACAAAGAGGGAGCTAAATGAAGCTACCCTGATTTTTATTAAGAAGCATGAGCTTTGCTTAAGTGGAAACGAACTCTATCGAAGCGATCAAATTTGTAGTCTATCCTTTTATGTTTGTTGCTGAAGATCTTTTCGTCTAGTCTATCCTTTTCGTCTAATCTTAACTTGCTAGCAAATTGATTTGTTTAGGTCATACTGAAAATTTGCACTCATTGGAATGCTTCCCCAAACTTAAAGGGAGGAAAATGATGAAGGATAGTATTCATTCAGCTTTGGCAAGTGATGACATCCTCCTCGAAATCCTCCTCCGTTTGCCCGAGAAATCTGTTTTCAAGTTTATTCTCGTGTCCAAAAGATGGCTGTACTTGATTTGTAATTTTTCTTTTCGTCGTTGTTATGAAAAGCAATGGGGTGCACACAGTCGTCTTTTTGGCTTTTTCGTATGCAATTTTCTTTACATTGACAGGCCACAAGACGGGGTGAGGCGCCCGCGGTACGAGCCTGCTCTACCTCTACTTTCAACTTGTAAAGAGAGTGATGATCTAATGTCATCTGGAATCTTAAGGAAGCTTGGCTATTTTATTGACTACTCTGATGGGCTTCTTCTCTGTGGTCGACACCCGAAACATTATTATGTCTGGGATTCCGTCACCAAGTATCGACGCCAACTTCCTCAACCTCAAAAACACTACAAATATCTATGTACAGCGTTCATGACCGAAGACCCCAGCGAAGGTCGCGGAGATATCGTATATAGAGTTGTTCGGGCAAACTGTGAATGCAGAGTCGATGTAATCAACACCATCTCCATAGAGACTTTCTCCTCACTGACTTGGACATGGAAGCCATCCACTCTTGTTTGTTCTTCAGAGTTTGCTTTGAGCCCATGGACGGTGGGTACCGTGATCAAAGGAGTTATCCACTGGTTCGGAACATATCGAAGTTTAGCCATTTATGATCCCGGATTCGGAGAACGCCGCATAACTTCAATCAAGCTACCAGTCGGTCAGCTGACTCATGACTACGAGGACTCCATTTTAGGAGAGTCATCTGATCGGCTTTTGCAGTACGGTCAAAGCGGGAAGCATGGATTGGAGACATGGGTTCTGTACAAGGAACACGATAACTCGTTATCTCCTTTCGACACTCGTTGCGAGTACCGGTGGAAGTTACGATGCAAACTAAGCTACAAAGAGCTGTGGAAGCAGAACCCGAATTCAGGTATTCGGTCTAAAGAACCTCAAATATTATCGTTCATTCGTCGAAACTCGGACTCTGTTTTCATTAGGTTGGGATCAAACATCTACCAGTGTAACATCAGAAGCAAAACACTTGAAGTGATTCCTTACCATTGTGATGCTCTTTCGATCCCATGGGATTTTTGTAAAGTAGTGCCTTACTTTCAGAAGATCTGGCCCCATTCCCCTCTCCAAAACCCCCCAGACATATTTAATCCTTATGCTTCATTTTCTTGAGCTGCTATTTCGCATCAACTATGAGATGCGCCTGCTCTGTTGCCATTTTCTTCTTGTCTTAATGACGATTAGGTGGTTCTCCTTTTTGTTGATTTAATGAAAAGTAATTAGTTGAGATATGATCCTATTGGTTAATATTTAATAGATGAGATATATAGAATCTTGGATTGAGCCAATTTCTATCGAGGCATATTGATTCGAGGTCACTACGAAAGGGTTGATCAATAATGTAGCTCTTTCTTTCACGGGTCTACTTTCGCATTCCTAATCTAGTGGGGCTGGACAGCTTTGTTTGTCCCAGTTTGATGAATTGCAATCCTGCACAACGACATTGTTTGTACGCCCTTTGCTGTTCTCGCTCAGTGTCTGCAATGGCTGTGAAGACAGTTGTAAAAGCCGAGAACAAGTCTAATTCTGAATGAAATCAAAATCGATCAATTTAATTTATAAAATCATCTACTATTCACACAAATAATTTATTAGCTCAACAGAGAAATTTGAGAGACACGAGACACGATAATAATGATAAAATTTTAAATAAACGAAAGGGGGTCTAAATTGCAAATGATTTCAATAATGATTTGAAGGGCGAGGATGAAGGGTTGATTAAGTGTAGCATCCGACACACTTTTTGCTGAGACATGAAAAAGCATTTCCGTTGAGAGCGAGAGAAAAGAGAGGCTTGGTCGCCACAAATTGGCGCGAAATCAAGGGAACCACCGAACTTACCGGTCTTTCTGAACAATGTCGCTTCCACATTCCATCCGATCCAGATTCACTACCTCTCTCTCTCTAAAGCACACAAATTTTACTTTCTCACCTCACAATACCTTCTTTTCCTTCATTTTTTTCACTTTCCTTTCCGCCATTTCTTCTCGGAAATGTCTCTTTTCTGCATTTTGTTGCATTCCACTCCGACCCATCTTTTATTTTCTACTTTCTGATTTCAATTTAGCCATGAACTTGGCCAAATGGGCCATTTTGGGTCATTCTTGCTTTGATCAAGGTGAAGTTTTCTTTAGCCGTCGTGTCTCTGGTATGGTGTATGAATTAGGCAGCTGAAGTGTTCGACGAAAGTACCCAATCATCAACAAGCTTCAGATTGCAGCATTTGAAATGGTTGGTGAACTTCCATCAAATTTCTTGTTTGAATCACTCAAAAAAGAGCTATAGCTTACAGGTTTTATCTTTGGCTGCAATATCTAAAGAGTCACAGAAAGATTTGTTGCATTGTGATTTGATGCTGCTGACTAGCTTGCTGTTTATTTTTGCTGCAAATGTCGTTTAATCGATTTCAGTTCGTAGTCTTCGAACGGACTTTGAACATAATGAGTGTTAAAAGAATGTGGGAAGTTAATGGTTATAAGTGAAGGATCCTGCTCATAGAAGTATGTATTGAAAACTTTAGAAGTCCATAATTGGGATAGATGCCACTTCGCATAATTTATGTTAGCTTCTTGGCTTCAGAAGTAAATTTAAGCTATTATTTCTGTCAAAATAGTGAAAATGTGCTAGTTTCTGAGTTAAGGTTTTCTTTTCAACATATGCAGGGTACTCCAGTTAACATTATTGTAGGTTCTCATGTCTGGATTGAAGATCCAGAAGATGCTTGGATTGATGGACAAGTATCCAAGATAACAGGGCAGGAAGCTGAGATCGAAGCCAGCAATGGAAAAAAAGTAGGCAAAGATCTTTTCTTTCTTTTCTCTTTTTGTTTTTTTCCCTATTAGAATTAATATTTTACTAGAACAAGAGCATTCATAGGAAGATCCGAAGGCAAGAAATCCTACTACATAGGCAAACAAAGTACATCCACAGACTCATCAATTCCGCGAAATAAAAAGAAAAAAGAATGTTAGTTACTAGGACTCATAATTTCAAACTAGTAACTATGTGTGGATTTAGTCTAAGAAATGCATGTTTACCGCATACTAAAAATGTGAGATCTCACATTGGTTAGAGAGGAGAACGAAGCATTCCTTATAAGGGTGTGAAAATCTCTCCCTAGTGGACGCGTTTTAAAATCTTGAGGGGAAGTTCGGAAGGGAAAGTCCAAAGAAGACAATATCTACTTGCAATGGGTTTGGGTTGTTACAAAATGTATCAGAGCCAGACACCGGGCAGTGTGCCAGGAGGATGCTAGCCCACAAAGGAGGTGGATTGGGAGATCCCACATCGGTTGGAGAGGGGAACGAAACATTCCTTATAAGGGTGTGGAAACCTCTCCCTAGTAGACGCGTTTTAAAACTGTGAGGCTGACGGCAATACGTAACGGACCAAAACGGACAATATCTGCTAGTGGTGGGCTTGAGCTGTTTCAGAGGAAACTACCAACTTGTAGTCTATTTAAAATTTATCTTATTCATTTTTAGATTACGAAGAATGATGGAAATGAAGAGGACATTATATTTTGAAATGCATGTTTACGGCATACTGAAAGAATGATGTATCTTGTGGCCTCTCTTAGAAACGCTGCCAATCTCTGCTCCATATATCTCAACAAATATTGATTTGTATGTGCTATTTGGCATTTTAGGTTGTTGCAAAATTAGCCAAAATATATCCCAAAGATATGGAGGCTCCAGCTGGTGGTGTCGATGACATGACGAAGCTATCTTACTTGCATGAGCCTGGAGTTCTACAAAATTTAAAAATTCGATATGAACTCAACGAAATCTACGTAAATTTTCACCCTTCATATAGTAACTATCACTTTGTTCAAGAAAAAAAAAAAAATCATACAATATTCCTTCTTATTGCAGACATACACTGGCAATATTCTTATTGCAATTAATCCATTCCAAAGATTGCCTCATCTTTATGATGGTCACATGATGCATCAATACAAAGGAGCACCATTTGGAGAACTGAGCCCTCATGTGTTTGCTGTTGCTGATGTTGCATACAGGTTAGATTTCAACATGTTGTCCTGAAAAATTTCACATATCAACTATTAATATTTGTACAAAAACAGGGCAATGATCATTGAGGGTAAAAGCAATTCAATTCTGGTCAGTGGTGAAAGTGGAGCAGGGAAAACTGAAACCACAAAAATGCTCATGCGTTACCTTGCATTTTTAGGTGGCAGGGTGGCCACTGAAGGACGAACAGTTGAGCAACAAGTTCTTGAGGTATCATAAATGACTTTCATATCAAATCTTACGTAGTTAGCTTTTGATTCAAGTCTCATGGTATGTTCTTCCTTTAACTCTATTTGCAGTCAAATCCAGTGCTTGAAGCTTTTGGAAATGCAAAAACTGTCAGAAATAACAATTCCAGGTAAAATCGTGGAGGGTGAAAGTTAATAATGCATGCAAATTTATTACTAGAAACTCATTTAAGCAGCAAATTTTCATTTCTCAAATTGTTGCTGAGAATTATTCTCTTCATACAGTCGCTTTGGTAAATTTGTTGAAATCCAGTTTGACAAGCATGGAAGAATCTCAGGAGCAGCTATCCGAACTTACCTCCTCGAGAGATCTCGTGTTTGCCAAGTGTCTGATCCCGAGCGCAATTATCATTGCTTTTACCTCCTTTGTGCTGCACCTCAGGAGGTTCTCAGCAGTTTCTTTGTCACCGCTAACTAAGAATTTTAGATTATTTAGAACATTGAACATGTGATTTGGCATAGTCCTGGTTTGTGATATAACAGGAAATTGAAAAATACAAGCTGGGAAACCCCAAGTCATTTCATTATCTTAATCAATCAAATTGCTATGAGCTGGTTGATGTAAGTGATGCTCATGACTATCTTGCCACTAGAAGAGCTATGGATATCGTTGGAATAAGTGCGAGGGAGCAGGTATGGTATCAGCTGAAGCTTGTAACTATGTCCTAATTTTGAGCATAGATAGATATCATCTTATGTCTTTCCTCTTTTCTCTCTCTTTACTCTGTCAGGAAGCAATCTTTCGAGTTGTTGCTGCAATTCTTCATCTTGGAAACATTGTATTTACCAAGGGAAAAGATGTCGATTCATCAGTTCCAAAAGATGACAACGCTAAGTTTCATCTTAAAATGACTGCAGAGCTTCTCATGTACTTATCCTGCATTAGAATTGTGCTTCAAATATTTACATCTTTTTATATCGTGGGGGTTATTCATCTAACCGCGCTTGTTTTAGGTGTGATAATGCTGGCCTCGAAGATGCATTATGTAAGCGTGTCATGATCACCCCTGAAGAAGTCATAAAACGTAGCTTGGATCCTCAAAGTGCGGCTGTCAGCCGTGATGGTTTGGCCAAAACTATATATTCTCGACTATTTGACTGGTGAGTGCCCAGCTTTTAGAAAATGGCATCCACTTTAATGGCTAATCATTGAACTACACCCTGAAACGTTTATACAAGATTGAAACTAGAAAGAAATACTAAGTTCATATGGGTTCTAAATGTATTTTTTTCCCCATATGCAGGCTGGTTGATAAGATTAATGTCTCTATTGGACAAGATCCTAATTCCAAGTCCCTGATTGGAGTCCTTGATATCTACGGTTTTGAAAGCTTCAAAGCTAACAGGTAAGGAATAATGATTGTCAATATGGATCATGTGCATGTTTATGTGATTATATCCATGTAAGCTTTGTAGCTGTACTTTGGAAATTCTTCTAACTTAATTTCAGTATATGCTGTGCAGTTTTGAGCAGTTCTGTATTAATTTCACAAACGAGAAGTTACAGCAACATTTCAATCAGGTGGCTTTCAGATATCATTACTCCATTTAAGCACTCTAATTTTCTTTTTCATCAGTTGATATGCATTTTTCTTCGGTGTCCAGCACGTTTTCAAAATGGAACAAGAAGAATACACAAAAGAAGAGATTGATTGGAGTTACATTGAGTTTGTCGACAACCAAGATGTGTTGGATCTCATTGAAAGGGTAAGATATCTTTCATTTTCCTCTTTTTTTTCCATTCTATTCTATGACTTGTATTGCAAGTTTCAACCATGTAAACTTAGATGCATCAAATAGTTCCTTGAACATTGCACCATTATCAGACTAAAGGTGGGGAAAAAAATGCTTGAACTAAATTACATAGATGACCATTTTTGTAACAGCCCGAGGCAACTGCTAGTAGATATTGTCCGCTTTGGC